AGAACAGAATATTAAGATGTTTCATAATATTATCAGATGTTTATAATACTGATTTATATACTTTTATTCATGAATGAAACTTCTATTTTATATAATCTTTCAATCATTCATTGATATATCAATCTTGATTAATTAATAAACTGATGATATCTTTATCTATACTCAGTTTCATGAGCATTTCCATTCTTCATAATAAGTAGAGAGTGAGATTAAAAGTATTAAAATATACAGAAGTATCTAAGTATTCTTTCAGTGCTTTTATATTCAATTCTGTAGATGTTGAAATTGTGTGAATTAGTTATTGAATCTCTTTATATTAATGTTATTAAGTTGTATACATATCAGCTATTTATTATTATTATAGTTTTAATATTGCTTAAAGTCACTGTGATACTGTGTCTATGCTTATATTCAGAGATTCTCTCATATTATTATTAGACATGATTATATTGTTTATTAAATATGTGATATCTGTGAAATTTGAAGAAGTGTAATTATATAAATATCTCATATATCTGAGTGTTAGAACTCTCAGATCTTTCACTGATATTCTCTTTATAGAATCTTATTACAGGATCAGAATAACTGATGAGCAGCTTCTATCTGAGAACTCAGTGTCTGTTTAACTATTTCTCTATTTCTTATGCATTGTTACACATTTGAATATCTCTTGATAAATAATTGTTCCTGATGAGAAGATAATGCATGAATAATCATTTTCTAATAAGAAGATGATAAATGTTTTTATAGTGTAAGAGGCCTACACTGAATAGATTGATATAATATTGATAGGTCTTATATAACAAAGATAAAAATGTTAGAGAAGAAAAGAAAGAGAAAGTGTGAGAATCAGTGATCAAGGTGGATATTTATACGCGTATGTGGTGGTGTACACAGTGGAGCTTCAGGGCGGGAGAATATACGCGCGTTCGTAGCGGCCGAGGATCGGCGATTGAGAATGGCTGAGAATCGGAGCGTACGCGTTCGAGAATGAAGTGGTTGGAATCTGTGGAGTGTAACGGAATAGTCTATATGATTGATCGGGCGCAGCCCGCCACAGCATGTATTTCTTGATTTTTACAGTTATTGTCATACAGACATCTTTCCTAATGAGGAAATCAGGGTCTGATTGATGTAATTAATTATTATTGCATTTTTGAAAGATTTGAGGATGGGGGAGGCCCCGGGTGGTGGCTTATAGACCACGGTGTAGCAAGGGGGGGTGTTGGTGATTACTACACCTACCCTAGTCACGTGCCACCCCAACCTATTTAGTGTAACTCGCGTAGTTAGATTACAACACAACACAACAACGTTATCCTCCAAGAACAATCACAATCACGTGATGGATCCAGTCACCCCACGTCATAAAGGATTGAACATCGAGATACAGTGTAGATATACATTTGGATGTGAGGATTAACAGACACAGACATCTGACAATGGCAAGGTAATAATAATACAGAGCAAAATGGAACGTAATGGTTTTTACGCTCTATACTCTATAGGAATACTATTAGACCTATGTAGATATCTTGGTTACACTGCGCATAGTTCTTCCAGACCTGCGTAGCTAGCAGTGTTAATGTATCAATGTGATACAACCTAGATACAAGTACTAGATATGAGCAACTCCTCTTAGGGATCATATGTCAAGGCACCTATTTATTTATAAACAACACCCCAGATAGATCAAATCAACCTCCGACGATGCGATTGCAGATCAGGCTCTGTCATCCAGCCATTTTGTTCGCCCTGTCATTTTTACTTCGCCCACGGCAAGGCTTCAACAACCCCCTCAAGCATCCCGCCCCCAAAAGTCGGTTTATGACTGCTGCATTTTGTCGTAGAATCCCGTCGACCGAGAAAGAAGGCTGCCACTTCATCATTTGCTGCCCAGCGTGGTCGTGTCTTGCCTGAACTGCCCGTATTTTGGGCTTTCATTTCAGTATTATAAGTATTATATCTAGATCTATCTGCCGATGATTCCCCCTTTGAATTTAGATGTTATATATACAGACAGTCTGTAACTTACTTTTAACTATTTAATTATTTTAGTTGGCTTCTTTGAGTATATTCTGTCTGGACGCAGCCTTTGTCCAGCCTAAACCGCTTCCTGTCCTCCTGTCTGTCCCCCCCAAACCCGGAGACCAACGCCAACTGCCAGCGATCTTCTTCCCCAAGCCTTTTCTTTCTACTTCTTCTTCTTCTTCTTCTGCTTCTTCTTCTTCTTCTTTCTTTCGACATCGTACTGTACAACCCTCAACCATTCCCAACGGTTTCTTCACCACCAGACCAGCTTACCTTCTTCGCGTTCAAGCATTGCAGCAAATCCACCTTCTACTTCTTCTTCCTCGTGTCTATAGCCTCATCCTCTTGTCTCCTTCCGCTCCCTGTCACCATCACATCACCAGCCCCAACCAAGGTGACTCACTCAAATCACTGGCCCTCAGAGAGAGAGAGTTTCCAGTCATTATTTTGTTGAAACCCTCGTCTGAATACTCCCGCCAGTTGCTTCCCCTGGTCTCCGTTTCGTATTGACCGCCAGCGTTGCCGCTCTGTCCGTTGGCTACTGAAAACGAATAAAGCCTGGTATGTGAGTGACTAGTTAACTATCCTAGCTACCCTTTGACCAAGAACATATATATAGTTCCCGCGCATCCCTCCCTGTTCACTCCTCCCCTTGACTCTTTTGCATGCTCCAACGCCCATACGTTTTTCCCAGCGTTGTTCCCTTCTTTGCACCTCTCCCCATTTTGAATAACTTTCTTCTATGCCTTGATGACTGATACTGTGGGGCTTCCCCATATCCCAACCAGAGTAAACCAATCAGTCTCCCGCCTTGGCCCTTCGTCGACTTGGTGTACTATTTAGCAAAAGCTAGCGTGTCTGCCTTGGAACGGGGTGCTCGGCCCTTCCGCATTTTCCCTTTTTTGATAAGCCCCAACGGTAAAACTACAAAGCCATCGTCGTCACCCCCCCACAACGACAACCTGCTCGAAAAGCACGGGAATAAACAGATCTCACGTACCGACTGAAAGAAAAGACATAAATACTTCTCTAAATAAACCGATTACCCCCCCCTCTTATTTCACTATGACCTCGAACCGTACCCGCCGTATCGCCAAGGAGCTCGCAGATATCCATGCAGACCAACACTCGCATATCTTTGCTGATCCGGTTGGGGGCGGGGATGACTTGACACATTTGAGAGGCTCCTTTCGAGGCCCTCCCGGATCTCCTTACGAGGACGGAACTTACTACATTGATATCAAGATACCCTCCGAATACCCTTTCCGCCCGCCTGTGATGAGGTTTATAACCAAGGTCTGGCATCCGAATGTCAGCAGTCAAACTGTAAGTCAGACGCACGCAAACCCACCGGAAGCGCATCATCTCCACCCACGGAAATACTAAGGATTTTGCTAACGGATAATTCCGTTTATCATCATATATCATAGGGTGCCATCTGTCTCGACACCCTCTCTACCGCCTGGTCTCCTGTCCTCACCATCAAATCCGCCCTGCTCTCCCTCCAGTCTCTCCTTAGCACACCCGAGCCCAAAGACCCCCAAGATGCAGAGGTGGCCAACATGCTCATGCGGAACCCCAAGGAGTTTGAGCGGGTTGCGCGCCAGTGGGCCGTGCAGTACGCCGGCGCGCCCAAACAGCACCTGGGTGAAAGCAGCGGGGGCGCCACGGATGATTCTATCCGTATGCAGCAACAGAAGTCGAAAGAAGAGCAGGAAAAGGAGCAATTGGCTGCGTATGGAACCCCACTCTCTCCTCAACCCTTTCTTCTTCCGTCAAGCGGTTGCGTATTTGTTTCCTTCCCTCTTAAAAGCTGCATATATTTAAACAACCCTCTGCTAACCAGTGTGTGTGTTAACTACAGTTACGACGGCTACAATAAAGACCTTGTCGATCGATTCTGCCATATGGGATTCGATGTGTCCCGGGTGGTGTCCGCATTCAAGTATGTTGGCATTGACCGGATGGGCGGCGAGGATTACGAATTGGAGGAAGCATATATGGGTGACGTTACGGCTCGTCTTCTTGGGGAGCCATAATGGTTTTTTGTTATTATTATTTCCCCATTTTTTTTCCCCCGGTTCTTGCATGATCCATTTGACGAATCTATATATGGAGAAAGTCGTATGGGGGAGCTGCATCGCACACAGCGCCGAATTCCTATGTTTATTTTGCCTTTTCGTTCTCCCCTTCCTTGACCTCTAGTCTCGAGAGAGCTCTCCGTTCTACGCATGTTTTAACCCTCTATTATTGGCTGAGCCTCTATGTTTTCATTTATAATTCCTCTCTGCTATTGTTACCATTATGTTCATCCCTCTCTGCCAAATCACATCCGAAATATGACGCGAACTTGGAACAGATTGATGGAGGAGGGGGGAAAGGGAAGCAAGCGTACGGTGCCTGGCGAATGATATGTGTTCTTTTCTACTTTTGCCTTTTGTTTTTATTTTTATTTATTTTGTTTGTCTGGAGCAAGGAAACCGAAAGAATTGAGCTTCTCCCATTACACGCAAAATCTCTATTATTACTCTTATTTTTGACGTCGTTTTTACTGATTTGGTTTTGAGTGATTGGATGAGTTGATATACTGATTGGTTTGAGAATTTTTTTAATTTTTATTTTTGTCTATGGCTATCTATATAATTATATCTTCAATAATACTATGTTTGCAAGCATTGGATACGTATTTTGTCTGTGTGGTTGTGTGTGTACGGAGCTCATAAATATTTAAGCTGCCCATGTAAAACTCTGGGGTCTCGTTAGCTAACCATTCCTCTCCAGGCCAGCTTTCTTTCTTCCTCACTTCCCCACCCCAAAATTACTCCGATGGCTACAAAATCCCCATGCTATACATACCATCAATAACGTCATGAACTTAACCTAAACCCCACGCCAAAAGCCGCACACCTCTACCTCTCCCTTACGAAAAAACATAAACATAAAGCCCCTAAACACATCCTGCAATAACCATGCTCGAAGACGACATCTACCGTACCTCCTCACAGTATCGCCTCTGGTCCTTCACCGAAGAATCCCTCCACTCGATACGGGCCAATACCAATGCCGTTGCCGGTGAGCGAGTTAGGGCCGCGATACGGCGGGCTACAAGGGATGTGCGATCGCAGCAACCAGCAGCAGCAACAACAATCACAACAACAGGCCCGAGGTCCGGGAGCGGTACGCCAAACGCAACTGGCGATGCGGATGATGGCAAAACGGCGGAGACGGGGGTGGGTAATGGTGAGCAGGTAGCGGAGAAGGAGAAGGAGAAAGAGATTGAGTGTCTGACGACGGAGGAGGAGCTGGAGCTGGTGAGGTATTATTGTGAGAAGACGATGGAGTTGGGAGATGAGTATAAGCCGCCGCTGCCGACGGTGGTTAGGGTCTGTATTAGTCCTCTTCTTTATTTGGACAAATCGCTGGATGGGGAGCTATCTTTTTTTTTTTTTTTTTTTCTCTTTGGCCCTGGATCAATTGCTAATGAGC